TAGATGGAATAAAATCGAAGAGTGCACTACAAATACATTAGAAACTTACAGTAGGCACACCTTGTCACTTACATTTTTTTGGGTTCTGACATATATGAAATTAAATATGAAAAATGAGAATTTCGTTTCGTTGACATTGATGCAGAATTGATTGGTTGCTATTTTCGTTTTGCCAGCCTTGGAGTTTTAATAATCCTTGGAGTGTCAATTGCACAATCACTTTCAACAGTTCTCTCTCCTTTTGTGATACAATTTTAATTAACTTGACGACAGCATTTGCAAGCTGACAGACTGACTATAAATCTGGCAACGATTATTCCTTTGTGCTGTCCAAAAAATTCTCCAAGCCATTTCCCTCTGTCTCTCATTCTTCTCTTGCCATGAAACTTTGTCCTCGTTGTGATTTGGCATGCATTCAAAAAGTTTTACACGATACAAAAGCATTTTGTTCTGCCTGCCAACTGACATTGAAAAAAGCGACGCATATAACGGATGGCAATCAACGCTGCAATTATGTAAGTGTATGTGTTTGAACTTGTGTTTGTATTTGTATAGGTTGTATGTGTGTGTGTGTATGGAATGTCGCCTGTATATTGAACTTGCATGCTGACCTTAGCCTGCTTTTTAGCCACATTTCAGTTGCTTAGTCATTTTGGCACTAGGGGTACAGAAGAGACTCTATAAAAAGAAAAATATATTATCACCTTTTTCAATCAAGTATTAAATTTAACACAAATATATTTATATTTTTTTTTGGAAAGTTAATAAAATTTATTTTTTTTAATATATATATTTTATGAAGAGAAAACACTGTATAGAAGTTCCACTGTGACTAAAAAGTACTGCATGGCAAATGTGTTGCATACTTTTAGGCTCCCCTTGCATCCTTCTCTCTTCAACGCTCAATGCAGCCCTCGTTCATGGCCACATCAGCATCAGCTTTAGCTTTAGCCATAGCTTTTGCTATAGCTTTACCATCGGCAGCGGCTTCAAAGTCGCGTTCAACGTCAAGTGGCCCACTCGGCATTCCACTTGAAGCGTAATGAAAGCATTTTTGCCACTAACACATGTGAAGAGGGCAGTTGAGAGTGAGGGAGAGGGAATGGGATACATAGTGTGTGAATGAGAGACAGAATGAGAGACAGGGACAAGCACTTGCTTAGGTTTAGTGTGTGTGCGACATCAGATTGACACTTGTCAGAATCATTTCTGTCTACACTACAGCAAATTGTGGCCCAAAGGTCATACAGAAAAGAAGGGAAGGAAAATTAGCCAAAAGAAAGAAAAATAAGACAGAATTACCAACCATTCCCTTAACCTTTATTTAGTCCTTTTGGCCCTAACTTGATTACACAAAGTTCGAGATCTGTAATTCCATTAAGATTTCTGTCTCATTGCACAGCAGTGTCAAGTTCATTTGTTTCCACAGACTCTGCAGATTGTGTGCCACCTGGCTGCCCAAGAACAATAAAACACATTAACACCTATTAGAGGGCCATGAGAGGGTGTGAGAGTGTTGGGTAGGTGAAAGGGGAGTGAAAGGGTCCTGGCCATTGTGCAAATGGGAACATAAATAAAAGCGACTGTCTGCCAAGTTATGAATAATAATGACAACAACAATGAAAGCGGCAGAGAGAGAACAGGAAAGCCAAGCTAAACTGCTTTAACTACGCACAGATGTGCTCAGAAATATAGGTATTCGAGAAAGTTAATTAGATTTTTGAAAATATTAGTTTTTTGACATTCAGTTATACTTTCATATGACTAATAGGTTTAGGATTTGATATTTTGTTGACTTAGCTATTATCTTGACCTTTAGTGTACTTGCCCCTACATGTGTGTGTGTGTGCGCAATGGTAATTAAGGATTTGGTCTTTGCCAAGGCAGTCCAGTTAAAATGGCCTGCCGCTTTGGGCCATTTTTATGGTCATTGTGCAATGGAATGGAAGGACAAAAGAGGAGAAAATAAAAACCAGCCGAGACAAAACCACACCTGGCTTTCTACCAGGTTCTAAGGGTGGGGATTTGGCAAACAGGACATGGCCGCAGATAAAGCATGTACGTGAGTGTGTGTGTGTATGGGCTTACAAATCTCTGCGCTAATTAAAAGTCATTAGAGTGTGGTATAATTGCATCTAAATGAAATGGCTGACTTGAATCCCTTTTCCCTCACAGTTAAACCTTCTGATAAGTCTTTTTAGATCCAAGGCGATACGACAACCTTATCTAATTAATTATTTTTTCCTTTATTTTTCTTTTCAGGTAAGCAATCAGCGAAACATGAAAGTGAATTTGCCAGCAAAGGTGTAAGTAAAAAAAACATTTGGACAGTCCTTAGTTTTAATGCAAATCCGACTAATGAACACGGGGACGAAAAGTTCAAAAAGAGCATTTTGTTGTCCCATAAATATTTTACTAGTTCATTAGCACTTAAGCCGCTCGAGAGATCGAGTGTTCTGCGTCCTGCGGTTTCCATAAAATATTAATCTGTTCGAGCCCCGCATTACAGATGCAAATGCCAAGCGAATGAATAAGTGATAGTTGAGTGTGCGAATTATTAGAGGGAATTCGGCTTCGGCTGGCTAAGTGTTTGCCCAAGAACTCGATCGAATCCGCTGTTCGTTTCTTCATAAATTTCTGGCTCATGAAATATGCAAGTGGCAAGCTGGCATGAAAATGGCGGAGCTTCCGCTGCAGTCGGTCATCCTGCCCCGCCCCCCTCCACTTCAGCCTTATCCTATTATCTCTGCCCAAGTTCTGTATATATATATTTTTTTTCTTTCCTTAAATCTCCCTTACTGCTCGTTCTGTCCTGCTGTTTTGTTTAAATTGTCAGTTTGCACGCAAAACGCCGTAGTTCCGGCCAGTGTTCATTTCGCTGACTTGGCCTGCAAATTACAGCCAACTTTTGTTCATGCAGCTCTCTTGGCTATTTAAGCATTGCGCTTGGGTAAAAAGGGAGAGGAATATCTATTCATGGCAAATATTTTGCAAAAATTTTTTAATAAACTTGGCTAGTTGGCGGGATGATTTGATGGCGTTTGGATAGATTGGCATACTTTTTTTTTTAGTTTTTTATCAGCGTTGGAATTTTTTGACTTTATTAGTTTTTATGTAGGAGAGGAATATTTACACTTTACGATTTTATGAGTATTGATTGGAAAGCCACTTTAAAAAAGGTCATATAAAAAAATTATGCAATTGCCAATGACTTTAGTAGAGTATTTTTTAATGGCTCTGTTTACAAACTGCTATGCTTTTTGGCCTATTTTAAGAGTTAAATTATTTCGCATTATTTATTAAGTAAATAAAACAATATTTCATGTTTTTAGTTGCCTTTTAGGTAATATTATCATTTCCTGTTTTAGTAACAATATTTGTTTTGGTACTCTTGAAATAACAACAAACTTTCGTGATGAAGTTTTTACTTTTACTTTTATTTTGCTTGCCACCGATTTTAAATAAGCTCGCTTTGAGCCAAAAATTAAATATCAAATTAAGTATTCGCCACGTGTATTCCATTTCGCGGTCCACATATCTTCTGAGCCACTAAGACGCAACGCACGCAATGGCGGCCCCCCGCAACACTTTATTATTTACTGCCATAATCATTTTAATGGCAACAAGCCAACGCAATGATAATAACGAACACAGCACGATAATCGTATTTATTAACATTTTAACTTAATCAGCATGGCGTCTTACGTCTTTTGATGTATGTCTGCTGTGATGTATGTGCATTGGGGTAGGAAAAGGTGAGCTTCAAGAAGGCGTCATAATCAGTCAGGTGTTGTCAAGTCACCAGGATGAGTTTCCAAGTAACAAAACAAACATTTTAATTCAAATTTTATTCAGCTTCCACTCGGCTAAGTGCAATATTTTCACCCAAACATGTGTTGGTAATTTACTTTTTCCTTTTTACTTTACAACCGCCACAATCTTGCTTGTCATGCTGTCTTTGCCACTCTCCTTTGAAACTCACATTTTATTTGAAATTTACAGATAAGAAAAGTTTGTCAATGTTTATGAGAAGAAGATTTTTCAGGGAGCAGAGATAGAAGCTTCCTGCGAAAGGCATCCATCATTTTGTGGCCCTCGGTGTAGCTGCAGCTGCTGTGAACTAGACAAGCACTAAACGTATGAAACATTTTCATTTAATTGAAACAAATGCGTGCTGCGTATCAATTGAGGGAAATGTGTGGCTTTTTCTTTTTTCTTTTTTTTTTTAAATAGAACAACTAGAGAGCAATAAAAACTAAATGCCAAACAAAATGGGTTGAGTTTTATGTGGGTGTTACTGGCACCATTTACCAAATGAGCAACAGAGATGGCAATCGTTTCAGGTGCCGTCAATGGGGCCGCAAAAAATATAACAAAATGTAAGAGGAAAATACAATATAATATAAACGAGCGGGCGAGCTTAAAAAGAACGCTCTATTTACCGCCCCTAGATCTGGTGCCAAGTGATATTAAAATCCATGTAAATTACACACAATCATCATAGTGCTTACGTCTGCATGTGTGCTAGCATGCTAGCATGCCATAAACTGACACCAAACACGAGCATTCCGCCAGACCTTTTATGGCCTGACCACAACGTTTGACACACTCGTTACGATACGTAGATACGTAGATATAATGCTGCAGATAATGCCACCCGGCGACGTGCTCTTCGAAGTACAAGTGTACTGGCCACATGGATACAATATGATATAATCATAGATTAGAGGATGCCACACATAATGGTGGATAAAGTAAAGCCAAATGGGAGACATGCGATTAGGCCACACGCACGATAGATCAAATTGCAGACTACATCCTGTAAACTAGTTATTATGAATAGTTTTTATAGCAAAAAGTAGTTTGTAATAGATTATAGAGAAATATGAAAATGTGAAACTTATGGAACCTCTACCTCCACTACTTTCGAATATAACACAATCTCTAGATGTTTCTTTATATAAACACTTGGATAAACGTTTTCTGAAATAAATAAGATAAAAAATTTCTAAGTTCCTAACTAGTTTTCACCTAGAAGATTCCCCAATACCCTCTTTGACTCACAATTTTCATTTATTTCCTTTATTTATATCCGTGCTTAACTCTGATATCCACCAGAAAACGGAGTATTATACTGAGGCTTGTTGTTGAGATTATTGTTGCTGCTGCCGGCTTGGGTGTACCAAATGCTTTGAGGCTTCTGAGCTGAAATAACGCCAGATTCACCGGCAGGTCCTCGAGGTCCCCTAGGCCCTGGGGGTCCGGGTGGTCCTCGTTGACCAGGTGGTCCGGGTGGGCCTGGAGGGCCGGGCACAGGAATGGGAATGTAAGCAGTGGGTGGCAAAGCCTCCTCTTTCTCAGCGGCTGTGGATTCACTGCCCAGATTTGTGGGAAGCAGATTCAGACCAGGCCAGTTGAGCCCAGACTGCCCCTGGACATTGAAACCCAATTGGACACGAGGCACCACAACATAGGAGAGACCATTTCCTTGGTTTTGGTTAATGGCAGTCTTGCTGGAGATTATCTGGGGACCATAGGCCACGGGATAGGCAGCGACTTGGGGAACCACATACTTCACATTCTGATCATTGACCATGGGAATGGCATTGGAGTATAGGTAGTCCGGAACTTTGCGACTGTCTTTCTCAGATTCGAGGTCTGTTACTTCCTCTCTGATCTGAGGTTCATGAAAAGTAGGCTCCTGGTCATCGGATCTAGCAGTGGCTTCGCTTGGGGAATATATTAAAATTTGTGGTCCAATTGGTTCTTCCACATCCACATCTAAGCCACTGCGTCCTGCTCCAACCACTCGGCGAAGATTGGGAATGCGTGCCAGACAGCCGCAAATGAGGCCCAAGATCACTGTTTTTGAGGATTTCATAAATTATTTAAATTTTCTTTTAAAAACTTAAAGAATTTCTTCTTTCTCACCCAATATTTGCACTCTGCGATACATTTTAGTAGACTGTTGATATTTGGATTTCTGCTGGCCTCTTTTATACTTCAGTTTGCGGCTTAGATAAGATCTGCAGAAAGGTTCTTGGTAATGGCCAAGTTCAGTAAACTTGCTGGCATCTCGCTGGTAATCAATTTTAACTGCCCATTTTATGTGGGTCAGCATGCTAAACGGGTTCAGTTAATCTTGGTGATCTTAGCCATTGAGTCATTGGGTGCGGTTTTGGCAAAACAAAACTTTCTTAGAAGGGCAGAACCCTTTTGATATATTACAAATACCTTTTACAAACTGGTTTAAGTTTTGTGTTACATTACAATGTTACTTTTAATTAATGTTTGAAAACAACACTTTCTTAGAAGGGCAAACTGAACCCATTTCTTGTAGGTTGTTATATAAAACTTTTATAAACTGATTAACTTCTCTATAAAATTTGTATCTAGAAATTGGTGTTTGTGAAAGATAAGATACTAGAAGTGAAATTCCATATAATTACCCAACCCTTTTGGTGCATTCCTAGTCCATTCTTTTCGTTTAGCATTTCCTACTTTAAAAAACATTCATTTTCATCAGTCAGACAGATACATAGAGAGCTGCTTGGAAACCCAAATAATGGAATGCAATAATACAAGAGTGCAGAAATAACGACTATATTTAGATATATATGAGTATATAGTGAAATAGTTTGTCGCACGAGAACGAAATTGAAAGTTCAGTATGAAACATTTTGGAATAGATGCCCAGGCAGGGGTTTAATTGAATTAAATCAAAAACAACTGCCATGCGACCCCTTCTACTGCTATGCTTGCTGGGTTGCTGCTTAGCTCTGGCTGTGGTGGTGATCCGATTGAATTGAAGCACCCGCATCCGCATTTGGGGTCGCATAGAACAGCAGATTTTTGGATTTTTAGATCTCCGGATCTCCGGTGGATCGAATGGTCATAGCAGTTGAGCCAGTTGCGCCGTGGCGAGCGCTTCGTTGGCGGCTCCCGAGCGAAAGGATCGTCACTCGGGAGTCCTGATATCGGGAAAAATCTTACGCGTAAATCCGTTATATAATGGCGGTACTTCGGTGGCTGCTTTTGTTGGAGGTGTTGCTGGTCTTACCGCCCGGGTATCACCTGGCCACGCCCTCGGGCAGCGGTCAATTGCGCCGCCTTTGGCTGCAGGATCATTGCAGTGCGGGAATTTGTACGAACGTGGTGATCGGTCGCAGTGATTATGTCATCCTATCGCAGGCCCCCATTTCGGGCACCACTATGTTGACCTTTCTGAACTCGAGCATTGCCAAGATACCGCATCTGTTGTTCGATACATTTCCGGACTTGCAAGTTCTGCGGATGGAGAACTGTTCGTTGGAGACCTTCGAGAAACCACAGTTCGAGGGTGCCAGCAATCTGATGGGCTTGTTTCTGGGACACAATCGCCTCAAGGATATACCTAAAAATATATTCTTGGGTGCTGATAATCTGGCCACTTTGCATCTTGAAGGAAATCACTTGAAACATTTGGGAAATCATAGTTTTCATGCGCTGAAAGAGGTGAAGGAACTTTCGCTGGCGGAAAATCAACTGGAACAGATTTCTCTTGGAGTTTTCGCTGGCATGAGGAAACTAATGGATTTAAATCTGGCGGGCAACCGCTTGGAAGCTCTACCTAGGGGAGTTTTCGATAGGAATTTAAATCTAACCAAGTTAAATTTGGCCAGAAATCGGTTTACCGCCTTCGAATCGGAATTGTTGAAGCTGCAGCCGGTATTTACTCAACTGGATATTTCTGGGAATATCTTCCAAGAGCTAACACTCAACTTCACGTCGCTGGAGGTGGCCATAGCTCATAGTTGCGATTTGAGGAGGTTAACCGTTTACGGAGTGGTTCAAGAACTCGATTTGCATAATAACTCGCTGAAGGAGATGCCGCACATTCCACAGGCCGCCAATGTCAGCATTTTGGATTTGTCCCACAACCCGATGGGAAATCTTCAGGGCAACCCCTTGCGTAGATTCACCTCTCTGCTGCGCTTGAATCTTTCGGCAACCGGTGCTCATGAGTTACCAGAGGGATTGTTCAAGAAACAGAGCCATCTGCAGATGCTGGATATATCGGGAAATTCGATATACTCCCTGAAGATCACCATCTTTGATAGCTTGAAGGCCCTGCAGTATTTCTACTTTCAGCAGAATAACTGGAACTGCGATTTCCTTCAACTGCTAATGAGTTCGTTTGTTAAGCGCAAGGATATATCCTTCATGGAGGATATAACAGCGCCTGAGTTGGTGGACGACTACGTGGATGGAATTGCCTGTTGGTATGAGAGTGACAAGCAGTCTAAGAAGTGTGAATCTGGTGGTTCGGAGGCTGCCATGGAGCTATCGGTGGTGCGAAACGAGATCAAGACATTTACGGAGTTGGTGGAGAAGAAGTTCGTCAAGGTCTATCGGATGTTGGAAGAGCTGAAAATGAAGCTATAAACGGGAATTGGCATAAACTCCTTTCCCACTATCTATCAAAACATATTTAATCCCCATATGTATTCCACTATTTAACCAAATATCAAACTATGTTAACCGTAATTTAAATTATTTGACAGACGACAGCAACATATAAACCTTTTAAAATAAGTTATAAGAATCAATAAAGGGCCTCTTGGAACTCTAGGGAAGATGAAGTGTTTGATTGTGAGGAAATCGTCAAAGAATGGGTAAAGTTGGAGTACAACCATACTTTTAAGTTGAGATTTAGATCTAAAGGTTTCCTAAAAACATTTAAAATGCATATGTTTTGGCCTCAAAGACCCCATTAAAACTGCTATCCTCCATAATAACCGTTTTAAAGAAAAATATATTTTGATATTTCATAATCGCTCTATCAAAAACAGTTCTCTGCTGCGCATATTTAAAATTCCTTTGTGCATAAACGTGAAAACAGTTTATCAGGCGATAAATCCCAGGCTTCACGGCCAGCTCAAAAATCACATTAAAAAAATTCGCTAACGCTCAATTTAATGCCATAAATATTTTATGCAAAACACGAGCAAGCCAGAAAAAATATTTATAGCATAACAAAATTCATTTTTATTTTCATCTTTTTTTTTTTGGTTTTTATTAAATGAAACTTATCAGCGTAATCGTGCACAGAGGAGACAGACGCACACTTAAAAACCGACAAAACTTAATTAAATGCAGGCACATACAGGGTTGCCCACAAATAAACACTGGCCAATGGAATTTTTTATACGGTCTGCCAGCGCGACAACCGAGCATTGAACATTGAACATCGCAATGATAATAATAAATACATTTTGTAAATATTTTTTCGAACAGGACTGTTTAAGAGTGCGGATGTATGTGTGTGGGAAATAAACAAACAGCGTGGCACATGGGAATACCATTAAAATATGGCTTACAGTTGATTGGGCTGAAAAGTGTGGAATCCACATAACATTTTTTTTACCAACTGCCACAGATATCAAGTTGTGGGAACATTTTTTTGGTGAACATGAATGTTTGGTCGTCGAAAAGTTGGAGGACAATGCCGGGAGATAGTGTTGGGGGCTTATGATGATTTATAGATGAAGCATAACCTTTATGTTATCGAACCTATTCCGATTCGTGACCGGAAAAGAGCATTTCCAATAAGCATAATTTGCATTTTCAATGCTTTTCGTTTGCCATTTCGTTCTCTTCATTCTGTTTGGCTCAATCCCAGATATGGCTTCTATGCAAAATTGTTCCAGAAGAAGATGAAAAGACGCCGTAAAGTATGCAGCAGCACATTTTAAAGCTTAAGCCATTAAGACACACAGTCGTATCATCCCATCCCTGTCTATTGTGTGTGTGTGTGTCTTCTCTGTCGCTCTAAGAGTCTTACTACGCTTGTAAGCAACTTCCGTTTCCGTTATCCGACGCGTCGTTTGTTCTGCCATTGTTGCCATTGGTGCTGCTGCTGCTGTTGCTTCCTTTCATCTTGCCCCTGGATTCCTATAACGAGACGTTGCACTGCAAGAATCTACATTAAAAACTTAAATATTTACCTAAAGAAAACTAATACAAAACTAATTACAAAATAACAAGAATTTAATCTAAGTTTAAAACAATCTAATATAAAATACATTTATTTTTCTCTCTGTGTAGCAACGTTAACGTGCTAGCTTTTGTGCAACATATGCAGTACACTCTTGATGGCCCTCCACTTCGGTTCGCCTGACTTTGTCTTGTCTTGGGCTCAAATGCTTTTCGGCCAAGTTTATGAAATTGTTGTTTGCAGCTTGTTGTTGGTAATGTTGTTGCTGTTACTGTTACTGCTGCTGTTGCTGTTCCGATGCCGCAACTCATTAAGAAAACAAAAGCAAAGTACAAAAGTTGCTCGTTACCTAAACGGCAACACCACCTCGCCACTTTGTTGTAATTAAGTTGACTTTATTACCCAACAATGTTGTACAAATGCATTTAGCCTTAGTTTTTAGTGCTCTCGAGGTTACCCGCTGGAACCTTAATCGAACTTTCATGCTCTCTCTCGGAATATTCATTATTTTACGGCACAATTTTTGTATTACCTTTATTATTGAAAGTTGGCCAACAGTTGCTTAACGAAAGTTTGCCATAAAACTTTGGATATTGGGTCAAGGTTTCTCTGAGGGAAAATCAAGTGGATGAGCAGAAGGTGGGGATTTCCTACCAAATTTCCGGTCCATCATTCCTGTGTATCTTTTACCACTCTCCCTTAACATATATGTGTGTGTTTCTTTTTGCGCCCACCTCATTTACTTAATTTCCTGGCCGTGCTCACGTACCTTCACTCAAATTCCCTTTACGTGCCACAAGTGAAATGCGTGCTTATTTGATTTGTTCAAGTGGCTGCCACAAAACATGAACAGATAAACATACGTGTGCTCTAGGGACTCGTTATATTTGCATGCCTCGCTCGCCAATTTAATTTTGCCAATTTTATCCTGTATTATAATCCAGCAAATCATTCATTTTTTTTTTCTTCTTTATTCTCTGTATTGTGTTGCCATTAGCCATAAACAATGCACACGACGCTCCACTGCAATTATGTGCGCAATTAGGCGTTGAGGCTAATTTTTATCAAATTTTTCGGCATCCGCCGACCGACGAAAAAACACATTTATATGTAGGGAGATGGCCTGCAGCAGGCTCATAAATAAAGCTTAATGGCAAAAACAGTTGGTCAGCCTCTGGGCGGGACAACAGTGGGCTGTGGCAGAGGGTGGCATTAAATTAAAAATGCGGAAGAACGAGAGGAGGAAGTAAAAAATATGTTGCCTACTTTTGTGGGCTGTGCATAATTGGGCAGCATGAATAATATACGAGCTAGTGTTTGTATGTGTGTGTGTGTGTGCGTGTGCGTAAGTTGCTAGTTTGGCAAACGAGGCGTATGCACAACATGCGTTTGCATAAATTCACGCTTAATTAGCTCTCGCCTTCTCGCACACACTCTCTCTCTCTCTCTCTCGCTCTCTCTCTCTCTCCTATGCGATCAACAAAACAAGCGGCCAAGCAAGTTGTAACGCTTCTAATTAGCGGTTGCCAAACGGGCTTAAATTTAATTTAATAGAAAATGTGCAAACATATACCAGCCAAATCTGCTTTTACACCTGCGGTCAAATTGGGCAGGTGTAAATACCAAGATTCTAATTCTATAAACGACTTAATTTTTTACGAAAAACATGAAAATTCAAATGGTTTTTATTTTGTTTTTTACTTCCAATTTTTCATCCTCAACTGTAAATCTTTTTGCTTGGCTAATTGCAGAAAAAAAAAATAAACTCGCTCGAATTCAATTACATTTGCCATCCATTGTTCGTGCGTTGTTTTCGTTTTGCTACCATTATTAACTGGCTTTTTGGCGCAATTAGGCTGCCACGCCTCCGTCTCATTCCACCCGCCCACAACCACACCTGGCTGGCAAAGCGTACGTGTCTTTAGCGCAGTTACGTTTATTTTGCAGGAGCAGGAAAAGCAAGAGGAAAAGCTGGAGCAACAGGAACAGAAAGCGGAAAGTTGCCAAGTATTTGACTGCTAATGCACGCACGTTTTATCCTCGCCGGCGAACCAAGTGGTTCCCTCTTTTTTTGTGTGTGTGTGTGTGTGTGTGTGCCCGTTGTGTTTTACAACTTTTAACCAAATTGTTTAACTAAGTAGTAAAAGCGCATAAAAGCACGTAAGACAAATGTACACAAAACGAGGAAAAGAAACATAAATTCAGAAAGAAAGTAGTTAAAATGAGTGAGCAAAGTTTGTGGAATGAATTATAATTTTTTGGGGAGAAGTATTTGGGTATCATGTATTATGTAAAAGATGATGATTAATACCAGGTTTAAACCTGTAAAGGAAATCAATTTAGGTTATTTATCATCAACTTCAAAAATGTCGGAGGATATTAAAAAGGAATTTCCGAAGAACTTTCAAATTGAATGATTCAAGCAAATAAACCTAGTAATTGGGCACTAAACAGAGAACGAAAGCACGCCAAGAGAAATGACAGGGATTCTGGAATCTCAACCAGCTATTTGAATCTCCATTTAGCATTGCAACTAGTTTTCCCCTCCCCTTTCTCTGCCGGATGAACAACTGCATTTTACCATGGCCAGCTCGAGAGAAGCATTTGTCATTGCAAATTGAATTCAACAGAATAGTAGAGGGAGCTAACATGACAAATCATTTGCTTATTATTCCCAGGTCGCTACAGCCCGGCTAAAGAGGAAAATGTTATGCATCTGACAGGGAAATTCTTTGGGGGGAGGGGAGAGAGAGAGAGAGAGAAAGCCCAGGGAAAACAGAGGAAAAAAAATGAAGAGAAACAGGGAAAAGAGATTAGATAATGGTTCGGTTTGTATTTCAGATTTAGGAGGAACTTTGCTTAAAGCCACGTAACATGATATTGGCAGTTGACCAAAGAGGTGGCTCTTTGGGTTGGGGGATCTGTGGCGTCAGCCATTGGAATCTCAGTTGCCAGTAGTACATGCATTCCACTTCAGTGGACAATGTGCCACCTACAGCTGCACACCTCCACAACATCCCCCACTATCATCCATTGAGCGTTACTCGCATGGAATGCGCAGCTGCACAATTTATAGGATATCTGTCGAGGAGGCCAACTGCTGGGTGTTAAAGTCGTGTAAAAGGGTTCCTGGCCGATAACAAGCTTACTGCTTACCCTGCTCCATCTACTTTTCCCCCTCGATTGCGTATAAAATCTTATAAATTGCAAATTGAATTTAACGATAAACATCGTTGGTAGGGGCAGCCCAGTGGCACCACCAGCACCGATGGCTGCAATCGGCATTGGGCATATTGGTGGGTCTCGGTTCATTGTTGGCCCACTTACTCCACTTCAGTCGACTGGGCGGGACCCAATTGATCCTGATTGGGATTGTCTTGTGCTGCTTGTTTGCAGATACACAAAACACTTAGGATATTGCAGGATTGGCCATCGAATCGATTTCGATTGATATTAACCCTTTTCGGATAACAAGCTACACTTGCACTTAATAATACTTACTTACTTTGAAACCAAAGTTGGAAGAAAATGCCAAGACATATTACTTTTGAGATGTTTAATAGCTGTAAAATATAATTTATTAGTTTAATAAATATTAAATAAAGATAAACTCACTAATTTATCATCTTCTTAT